TTCTCTTTGTTCATTTTCCATCCTCTCTTTTTCTAATAAGAATTTTTCTTCTTTGTTCATTTCTCATCCTCCCTATATTTATTAAGGATTCTCCTTCTTTGTTTATTTATTTTATACATTCTTCTCTTCTTCTTCATAATCTAACATTTTTTGCAAGTGTAGTAAATAAATAAATATATGAAATGAGAAAATTTAATAAAATTTCCTTTTTATAAATTCTAGTAATTTTTCTAACCCTAAATTACTTCTCCCTCAATCAAACCCCTAAAAAAAAATAAAAATCCTAACCTTAAAAAAAAAAACTTAATTCTTAAATCGAATAAGAGTTATTTCCTCATCATTTTTGTTTGCTCTTGTATTTGTTTATTTGTTTTGTATGTCTCTCGTTTGTTTCTTTTTTTTCGCGTGCAAAAATCTCATATTAAAAGGTATATCAATTTTGTATTATTATAAAAAAAATGAGTCTTTTGAATCCACGCAACGGCCAAGTAATTTTGATAGAGTGGAGGATCCACCTTCAATGTTACTTGGATCGTAAGGGTTTATTGAGTAGCTGTGTGCTAACTTGAACCCTGTGTAGGAGTAGATTTACTTAAAAATGATAATAATAAAGAAAAATCAAGTTTTTTCCACAAAAAAAAGAAAGAAAGAAAATCTTTGAAACTTATTCAAAACATAATTTTTGAAAAAGAACTACATGTATTTTTTATTCCTGCGTTACACACGGAGGATACGTAAGAGCGGGAACCTGACCTGTCAAGTCCAATTTTTTAAATGTTTTTTTAGGTTCAAAAATATTTTTAAAATTATTTTAAACTAAGATTAATTTCTAGAACATTTTTTTATAGAAATTAAAAAAAGAAATTTTTATTTTATTTTAAAAAAATAGAAAATAGAAGATAAAAAATAAAAAAATAAAGTGTTAAGATAAGTTTTTTTTTACTATATATTTCTTTAATACAAAAAATGAAAAAAAAGAATAATATTTTTACAAATAACTCATTCCTTTAATTCAAATATTTTTTATTGTATTTTTTATTTAAAAAAAATAAAATTAAAATCTCTCAAAAAATTTGTAAAAATTAGAAATAAATCTAAAAATAATAATAATAACAAATTTGAAAATAGTAAAAAAGATATTAATTAGTTTCTCTTAGAGTGAAATAAATGTTTTTTAAAGTTAAAGTAAAATTTTGCACAATTAATTAGAAGGTAACCATTTTAGCCAATGGACGTCGTAAGGTGCTAATATCTTTCTTACACGTAAACGACTCCGAGCCCAAATTTGGTTTCAAAGTTTTTTTTTAATTAAAAGTTTTTCCAATATTTTTTTTAATAAACTTTGGTGGAGACTCCTTGTTATCGCCATCCCGTTGTGACCCCGGTTGCAACAAATAAAAATTCAAAAGAAAGAAACACAAATTACAAACTTAAATGCCTATGGAGCCTATAAGACTATAATTGTGTCAACTCGAGCAAAGCTCCTTCAAACACAATAAGAATAGTAAAAATTTTCTAATAGTTGAAAATGATAAAGATCTTACAATATATGCTTATGGCAATGTTGTTATAGACACTCAATTAAAATTTAAAAGCTTAAAAATACTCTTTATGTTCCACAAATTCTTGTTTTGTGAAGGACAAAATGATAAGGAATATCTAACTTTAACGAAACATTAAAGATGAGTTGTACAAGTTATCTAGAAATGTAAAATTGTCAGATAAAGAAATATTTTCTTTACTATCTACTAAAGAAACTTGACACAAGAAATTAGGACCCTAATTATAGGACTTTAAATGAAGTTTTAAGAAAGTATAGTGTAAACTTGTTGTATAAGATAATTTTGTTTTTTGTGAAGCATGTCAATATAGAAAAAGTCATAATTTATCATTCAAGAATTTTGTATCTCATGCACCAATTAATTTTGTGTGCATTTTATTGATAATTACAATAAGTTTACATGAATTTAGAAAAAAAAAATCCTTTTAGTGGGCTGATGGAGGAGAGTTTAAAGCATTAACTAGTTTACTTCAAAAATCTATAATTTAATGAAGACAATCCTGTCTTTATACCTCATCAAATCTTTGTTACAAAAGATTAAAGTTATAGTTCCCATAACACCAATTCTTTGGTGTGATAATCTTAATGCTAAAGCTTTAGCACATAATCATGTTTATCATTCTCGATCCAATAGATTTAGTCTTGAGCAACAAAAGTAAAGGTAACTTATATTTCTAATTCATACCAAAGTATTGACTCATATGAGATTCACTCAATTTAGAAATAAGGATAAAATAATTAAGATAACCTTTAACTTGAAAGAGATAAACACTCAAATAGCAATGTATTAGATAGTTGGTCAAACAGTTAAATAAGTGAGTTGATTTGTATTGACTTTTTTGTTCCTCTATATAAATAAGTGTATGCCTTCACGTTAAATACAATAATACATTCATCTCCTTATTTTTGGCTCCTCAACAAATTCATTTCAAAAGACAATACTTTGTGTTGCACATTTGTTTTTCCTATTTATATTTCTATTTACTATATCTTTGAATTTTAAAGATTTTGTCTTGATGGTAGATTAACGTGATAAGAAACATAAGAGTATAGTTATGTCATGTGATGTTCATTTTAATTTAGTTAGAATTTTATCTTTGGAGAATTTTACTATTAGAGGGATGAAGATAATTGTGTGATTCTCATTGATCATTTATATTGTATATTTAGATTAAGAAAAAATATTTTCAAAATAATTAAGAATTTAAAATTGATAAATTTTATGTTTAAGTATAATAAATTTTAAATGACATCTTTAAAAGTTTAGAATGAAAAATTTTATATAAAAAAACAAAAAAATGTAACAACTTATATCTTTAAAATTTAGAATAAAATTAACAAAAAAGTGAAAAGAAAAATTATATTGAAAGAAATAAAATACAATTTATGCATCATTATTAAACAATTTTAATTTTAAAAATGCACGTAATAAATTGTAAAAGAATGTAATTCTATTATATGTTTCACTTTTAAGACTTTTTGTGTATAATATAAATATTAATTCAAATAAAAGACTAAAATAAACAAAATATTTTCTTCGAGAGATGAATTGAAAGATCCCTACCTTTTGACGATCAATTTGAAATTTGTCTTATTATTTTAATTTGTAAATTATATTTTAATCAATATATTTATATTTAAATAAAACTTGAGATTATTTTGGAGCTATAATTTATAGTTAAGATCAAGCAATGATTTACAAAAAGTTAAAATTCAAAATAAGTTTTTTATAATTTGTCATGAATTTAACTTTTTATTTAATAAATATTATCTCCAATCACAAAAAAATTAGTAATACAAGAACCAAAACCCAAATATATACACATTATATTCAAGGCCGCTTCACCGTCCTACACAATTAACCTCGTCACTTGAGCCTGCATTTCGGTTTTCTAGCGGGTGAAATATCTACTTTCATGTGGCTTTTCTAACGGCAATCAATGTTACTTTTCTCTTTAATTTTTTGTAGAGCAAAGCTTAATAGTACGAAGATATTCAGTACGAAAAAGTGACGAATGCATCTAGCACCTTCCATTTAGTTTACTGTTGAACAATCAGTCCACAGTATAAGAAATTAAAATGCAACCAAGATTTAGAACAAACCAACTCTGGTCTGTCTATTCCCCTGCACCATGTCCCTTATTCTCCTATTTTCAACTCACCACTTTTATTAAATTGGTGCTTTAATTATTCAATAAATGCCTAGAGTATGTCAACCAGATTACAGTTTAAGGTCAAATTTATTTATTACAAATCCAGTTTATGGTCGTACATAAACCTAATTACCAGAGCCAACTATCAAATCCCTTCTGCTGTGTATCTATTAGTGTAAGATTCTACTGCTTCACAATTAGACCCTACATATAGAGACATATATGCTGAGATGCTGCTTGCTACAAAGCCCACCTGAACACTTCTAAACAAGCAACTAAACCAGAATAACCGTGTCCACATAATTCAGTGCAGCATCCAGGTTTAAATGTTAGCATTACGTACTTAAAGATAACTATACATATAAGATTAGAGATCCTGGACATACCACCAAATTCCATATCTGACCTGAGTTTCAGCATAAAAATTAACTTTATATATATAAGAAACTATCCATAGAATAACTACAGTGTAGAATCATATCAGCCAGCAACCTGACACACCAAAATGGGACCATATCATACAACATGAAACCAACACTCACCAAAATGTGGCCAACGAATTTTTCTTTTATCAGCAGAAAAGGGATTTATTCAGACTAGAGTATCAGTGTTGCTCCAGTATTACATCAGCTTAATAAAACCATAAACTACCTCCTGATGCTATACAAACAGAAAACCAATAGCAGTATTAAACACTCATGGTACCCTACCCTTGCATTGAAGTAGAGCAATGAAAGAATGGAGAAGAGGAAGTGGATTGGACCAATGGAGAAAAGAAGGAGAAGTGGCTTTGTGGAGGGGCAAGAATGGTGGAGCAGAAACAGTGGACTGAAGTGGCAAGAATGGCAGACCTGCTGAGTGCAAAAGGGACGTCAATCAAGTGCAGGGACGAGAATTGGTGTGAAAGGGGACTAGACTAGGTATCAATGGAAAGCTAAAACATGAACAGCTTTACCACCACCTTCTAAGGGCCATCTTTTTTTAATTATCTCCCTCCTCTTTCTTTCTCTTGTTTTTCACCATAACCAGCCACAGTGTAAATCAAAGAAACAATTTAAGATATTATAAGATATATATATTATTATATGTTTTTCATAGATTTAACATTGTCTAAAATGATAAATGTTTCATTAAATTCAAGAAAAAAAAATCATGTTTGTCAGATGATTGGTAACTAAAAGGGACCCAGAACCCTAGTGAAGTGTAGAAACCAGAGTCAATACCCCAAGAACATCACATAAATATCAACCTTTCATGTTTAAGTAAAGCAGGGAGAGATGAAATAAGCAAACGAGACTGCTGAAATCAGCAGAAAATCTTGATATCACTCATCTTTTTATATGGTAGTAATAAAAAGTCAAGTACAAAAAATAGAGACAATCCTTACTTCAACTGCAAAACCACCTGTTAAATTACATATGCTCTTGATCACATCCTAAAAGGGCCATTGGAATCCTCCTAAACCGAATAGAGAATGAACAAAAGCTGATTCACTGACAACAGGGATACTCACAAATGTGCCCAAAAGTGCACACCTTATGCACCCTATCATTATAAGAATATATGCCAACGCCACACCAGCCCAGTAATACATCCCCAATGTTCCCTTGAAGTGTATAAGTGGCATGAAATTACTTGAAACCCATACTATCTGTAGAGCAATCTCCAGTAGCATTCCCATCATTACATGGAATCTGAAGATAAGGGGAAATTCCTTGTTTTTTACGACTCCTACAATAGCCACATAGCAATATAACATAGGGAACCAGTTTGGTAACCGGTTGACAGCTCCTGGGATATAAAAAATCAAATTCCCAAAGAATGGAAATTTGTCAAGGAGGCGTTCTAGAAAAATCCCAGTTGCAGACATCTGCAGTGCTGCTAGATAGGGAACACAAGATAAAGTCCTCCACCACCATTCTGGCTTCTCAGCATTTGCAGGGATTCGGAAGCCTGATGAATGATATATAAACGCTTGTCCACAGATCTTAGAATTGCATCTTCGAGTTTGAGACATAGGAAGTCTGAGTGAGAGACGAGCTTCTTTATCAGTAAATAGTGGAGATGAAGCAGCAGTGAGTCGGATAGCTGATTTTCCTGAAATAAAAAATTCAGAAATTACAACAACAACAACAATTATACACCAATTTGAAGCATTGCAACTAAACAATACATACAATTTGAAAAAGGTGTTGCTTTTAGATGAATTGGCCTATACATGTCTTAATGTCTTAGCATTACAACAACAACAACAAAAACAAAAGCCTTATCCTTCTAGGTGAAATCTTTTACATAGATCACACACTGTCTCCAGGTGTTATGAAAAGATAAGCCAGAATCAACACACAAGTCTCAAATGTCCTCCCATTTCATTATTCTTAAAAATACTTACACAGAGATCCAATGTTTCATTAAAATCAAATTTACGGAGCCATTTAAATACTAAAATCAGACAGAAAATCCCTTAAAAAATGTCAAGAAGCAAGATGCTAACTTACCAAGAGAATTTCCGGCAAAAGCTGTAATGGCATGATTCTTTTTCCTGCAGATTGTAGTGCATCTTTCCGGAACCAAATATTTATTCCTAGTTAAAAACCAATGACAAACAAAACGTGAGCTCTAAATGCAAACAGAGAAGCAAGAGAGACCGTGACATAACAACACAAACCCATCAATTCTGAAGCACGAGACAAACCTCTATACATTGACAAATGTCGTTCTAAAAACTATACTTTTCAAATTTTCAATAACTACACAAAACTCAACAATGTACCCTAATTTTCAAATTCCCCACTAATCTAAGTTCCTTTCTCGTATAAACTAACCGCAATTAACCTTAAGAGTGCACTCTGAAACTCAAATTATTCTAAAGCGGAGCGAAAAAAAACCTCAGCTTGGGGATTCATAACCTCATGAGACCTCCTATATACAAAATAAATAAATAAATAAAAAGAGGATTGATATTTTATGAAACTACGCCGTTTAGGTCATATTAAACCATAGAGTTACAAACTTGGATCCGCACAACGTGACGAGGAAAGGCTCCACTCGTTTGTGGGTTTAATATATGTGTGTAACTCAAGGGTAATCAGTATCCCTTATAAAAATGATGATATAATAATAATAATAATAATAATAATAATAATAATAATAAACAATACAATATATGATATATCAGACGAGAGGAAAAAGAAAAGTAGTGATTTGTAATTGCAAGAGAAGAGAGATGGTACCTGAAAGTGAAACAGAGAGAAGCAGAAGAAGGAGGAAGAGTCGCTGCCAATTGAGGTGCCATCTTCTTCTCTCTCCTTTGCCAGGGTTTCCCTTTCTTCTTCTTTTTTTAATATTTATATATAAGCGTTGCCTCGGAGTGCGAAGGCTCTAGACATGGCTCTAAGGTAAGGCGGTGCTTTTGAGTATTATTCTGCATTCGGTATTTTTGTATGTATTCAAATTGTAAAATTAATTCCCATCTATCAACCTCTTAATACTTTATAAAAATTACTTTTTTAATCGCAGTAAATCGAATTTTAGGAGCTGATTTTTTTTTATCGTAATGATTAATTATTTATATTAAATACTTATTTCTAATTTCTTAAGAATTTAATTTTTATATTTTAAATTATATTTTACTTAATAATAGAGTAATAATAATTATTAATTATAATATTTATAAAATTTATTTTTAATAACTTATTTCAAAAATTTGTTTTAATTTAATAATGTGCCTAAAATGTACAAGAAAACCACTATTTTTAATTAAAAAATATACATTTTAATGTATGTGTATAATTTGAATAATTTTAAATATATATTTTATTTATATTTATCAATTTAAAACTATTTTCACTAAGTTCTAAATCCCAATTCGACTTACTAATATTTCAAAGAAGATGAAATTAAATTATTACTATATTTTGGACTTTTGACCGCTCTTTTATTTAGAAAAATATTTTAATTATTTATTTCATTTCATAAAGTTTAATTTATTTTGTATTTATAAAATAAAATATTAATAAATAATTAAGGGAAAAAAATTTTATCTACTAAACTTTTATAATTTAGGTTTATTTCTTTTTCTTTATAATTTAAAATAAATTTATGTTTAAAATATTATATTAATTTTAATAAAAGAATAATTTTTTTATTTAAATATAATTTATATTTTATTTTAAATATTACAAATAATGACATAATATTTTATATTTTACTATTCTAATATATATCAATACATATAAAAAAATGTTATTAATTTATTAAGATTCAAAACAAAATTAATAAATATATAAATAAAAAAATTTAATTAATTATAAAGTAAATATAATTCCATTGACTTCTTAAATAGTAAATTTTCATTAACAGGTGAAAGGTCTAAGTTTGAATTCCCTTTTAGATAAAAAAAAAATTAATAAATACATATTAGGACGATTATTATTGTTTTTTTCTCGTCTCATGGAAAGTCATACGGGAACCTTTTCTCTTTTTATTTTCATTACCCAACAAACACAACCCCTGACCGTCCAAGAGGAAATTCAAAACCCTCTTTCGGTTCGTCTCAATTCTAACTTGTATTATATGGCTACAACTTGGATCCCAAATTCCCTGTTCGTAGGTTTCCCACTTTTCCCCGTATTAAGATCCAATGGCGCTTTGAATTATTGGGGCAGTTGGGTAGGCCAATGACATAGTACCATAGTTTTTTAAAGCAAAAAGGTGCACTTTAGTTATTTATTTTTTGCTTAGAATTTTTGGCATTGAGGTTGTGTGAAAGAGAGAGGAAATAGGGATGGGTTCGAAGATGGAAGGAGCTTCTTCTTCTTCTACCCCAGCAATTAGGCGTGACCCTTATGAGGTTTTGTCTGTTTCAAGAGACTCCACTGATCAGGAAATCAAAACTGCATACAGGAAGCTTGCTCTCAAGTATGTTTCATCATCTTGCGTTTATCTTTTATATATTTAGAAGCATTTCAAGTGAGTGAGAGGAGATTGTTATTATGAGAGCGAGAGTTATTAATAATGGATAGTAACATCACATTTAAACTCTTTATTTTTATTCAATGTCTACTATTAATGTCCCTGTATATATATATATTTATTTAAATTACCTTTTGGTTTGTGCCACCTTACTGGTGAATTATGTATGTGGGAATAGTTACGCGAGGTTTTTTTTAAAGGCTATTTTTTAGGATATGTTTGGAAGTTCGGTTTTGGAAGAAAAAAAAAACAGATATTTTATTTTTAAATTAAGAGAGTTGTATACTATTTATAAAGGAAAATGTTTCATGTACTGCTAAAAAGTAGATAGATAGAAATAATGGTACGTGGTGTCAAATTTTAGTTGTTAAAATAGCGGAACTGTTTTTTAAAAATAAATAAATTATTAACATATTAAGTTTATACTAATTTATGATTTTATCTCTTATTTTGAAAGTTGTGAAATTAGAGAATATTTATTAAAAATGAAAAGTTAGCCCTCCTCTCTTTTTTCCTCCAAAACCTTAGTCTCAAACATACTCCAAGCCTACAAATGGGTCTTTGTAATGCTTGGTCTTTGCTTGCAGCTACTTACAAGCTTCCATGGAGCTATGTTTTCTTGTGATTTACTAAACTCTGCAATGGAGTTGTTTCTTTATCTAGTGTGAATTTTGGAGAGTTGGGGTTTTTTTTTCCCCTCCCTTCAAATAGAGAAGCTGGCTTTTCTCTGAATTTATTATATGTAAGACAATAACATATATAATCCTTTAAAGTGTTATAGAAGAACTGGTGCATTGTTCAAGATGATGAACATTCTTATTCAATGTACTTTGATGTTACAGATTCATTGCACCTACTGTGAGACCTAATGAGTGGAAGTGGAACAGCTTGAATTTCTTTAAATGTTCTGGGATTGATGATGTATACACTATAACAACTTTTAGTTTATATTATTTATTTATCACTGTTTTAACAAAAGGAAGAAAAGGAAAACAGAAAAAAGAGCCATGTGCCTATGCTGCTGGTCCTGGGAACTGTCTTTCAATTATCTTATGGCATGATAGATTTGTAAGGATAAATCCATGGCAAGGTAGAAGACCAGTAACATGCATTGGCTGTTTTGTTGTGTCCCTTTTTCTTTTCTGTTTTCAAGAAGGGGAAAAGGGTGAGGAGAAGAAGAATAAATCAGTTAAAGGAATATAAAGATGTTCTAGCCAGCTTTTTCTTTGTGCTCCCATTATGTAAGCCTAGGTATTTACTGGATAAGAATGACAACAAGGATAGTGAATATATGTGGCATCTAAGATATATTGTAATATTTCTTTGTATAATTGGCAGGTATCACCCTGACAAGAATGCCAACAATCCCGAAGCTTCAGAACTATTCAAAGAGGTTGCATATTCGTATAATATTTTGTCTGATCCAGAGAAGAAAAGGCAGTACGATAGCGCAGGGTTTGAGGTCCCTTTCCTCTTGTCCTTCCCTTTTGAATCCAAAACATTTTTTTCGGTTTTCCTTTTCCATCACTATCTTTTCCATAATATGAAAACAAACATATAATAATAAGCCTTGATTGATGAGTTTTTCAAAATCTATCAAGTTTTTGAACTTTCCTGTAACTTATGCAAGGTCTTTAGTTGTTTGTTGCTACTTGCTACTTTAGTGCCAGATGTTTCTGTTTCAGGCTTTCAGCCATTGCTAGGAGATAATAAGCACAGACCTGACACCAATGGAATTTTATGATTTTGTTAAAATCATCCAACCATAGGATCCATCAGTTAGATTGATAGAGGAATAAAGGGAGGTGTAAACTAGAGGATTTTGATATAAACTGGTTCTGATGTTGAAGATTATCGTTATTGATAGAAACTCTAGCACAATCCAAGTTCTTAAATTTGGGCTTTAGCCTAACTCAACCTAAGAGCTATCTTGTAAGGTGATGATTGCCTTAACTTTTAAAAGCTCTATTTTGGCCATTTCTGTAGTTGCTGTGGACTTAAACACAGTCTTCAGTCTTCACACTCAACATTGGATATGTGGAGTGTGGAAACTGTAGGATTGATTTATTTTTTTTCTAACATTGCACTAGGAAACCTGTGGGCCTAGGTTTTTTTTTTTTATTTCTAGTCAAGGGTGACCCAACATCGAATCTATGATGGACTTCGATATCATCTTAAATTTGAGCTTTGGCATAAGTCAGCTCCAAAAGCTGTAGCTTGGAAGGTGAAGTTTGCCTTAACTTTTATAAGCTCTATTTTAACCATATTTATAGTTGACGTGAGACTTCAACACATGTATTCAAGAGATCTAGTACTCTCCCAATGCCCAAAGGATTTAATCCTCTTTCGTTTAACAATATCTCTCTCTCTTAACCTCTCTTGTTATTTATAGGCAAATGCCTTATTTCTTCCAATTATCCCAACCAACCAACTAACTAAATAACTAACTACATAGCTCCCCAGTTAACTAATTATTCCACTAACTTTGGGTGTTACCTGTCTGATTCAAATAGATTAAAGGGCATATTGTCTGCTTGCAACATGGAATGCAAACAGGTTACATACTTAGACTTACATTTACTTAACCAAAATTGGGTATTTCATGCTTGAGGGTGTGAAATTTGGGCTTGATTGTTACAAACTTCATTAGGTTAGGTAACTATTTTTGATTAACTGTGTTGCTTCTGTTGTTGGTTCATTGTTATCTTTTGTCGACCCATACAGTGATTACTCATTTAATTTATTTTCACTATAATGTTATGACATGTTTATTTTTTAAATTTAAGTAGTTTTTGACAATTTAAGTAATTTTTGACAATTTAGTATTCCTTTTATTGATGTAAGCCGTTTCTTTTAAAAGTGTATATTTCTTAAAACTGTTAACTTGTTATTCATGATTAAAATCCCAATATATTTCTTTTGTATAACATTCTTCTGGTTAAACAATTCTATGCTAATCCATATCAGGCATTAGATGCTGATGCCATGGACATGGAAATCGACTTATCTAATCTTGGAACTGTTAACACAATGTTTGCAGCTTTATTCAGGTGTGAATTTATTATGGAACTACTTAAGTTTTAAATTATTTAGCTCTATTTGTTTCTTATCACATATGAAATTGTTTGTAGCAAGCTGGGTGTCCCTATCAAGACTACCATTTCAGCTAATGTTCTTGAAGAAGCTCTAAACGGAACAGTGACAGTTAGACCCCTTCCAATTGGAACATCTGTTAATGGAAAGGTTCTTACCTCCTTCATGTTAATGAAGCATGTTAAATATATGTAAAGATGTTATTTAGAGAAATAGTATTCATGTAATTATAGTAATTAAGTAACTGTATATTTGTTTTTAATTTTGTAGCTATGATTATTATTACCATTTTTAATATAAATATACATTTCGTGGTGTAGTTGAAACACACAAAATTTCTTTCATGCCTTCTTGTTTTCTTTTATCTTTTTAACATAGTATTAGAGTCTATTTAGTTTGAATGTTGGACTGCCCACAGATGTCCAGTTCTATTGAGTTCACCCGTGCAGATGTCTAGTTCTGTAAATTTCATGCACCAGATGTTCAGTCCCTGAGCATGAGGGGAATGTGTTAAGATGTCTCACATTGGTTAATAATAGAGTTAGCATACTCTTTATAAGGGTTAGGGTAGTCCTCCTCCTTAAACTTGTGTCACTATATGTTGCAGGTAGAAAAACAATGCGCTCATTTTTTTGGTGTGACAATAAATGAGCAGCAAGCTGAATCAGGGATTGTTATACGAGTTATTTCAACTGCACAAAGTAAATTCAAGGTATAACATGCTTTTTATTATGATAAATTAATAACTCCTCTATCTTTGTCATTGGTCTGCTGCAAATAATATTATGTTGAATTGTAATGTTGAAGGCTTATTTTTCAGTTGCTGTACTTTGAACAAGATGCGAATGGTGGTTATGGCTTGGCATTGCAGGTAGGTGTACGTATTTTTCCATTGCTTGGTTTTTATTCTGTGTTCTCTCTTTATAACATTGTGTTTCCAACAAGTTGTGGTAGTTATTAGTAGAAATTTTGGGCCTAATATGAAATTTTGTCTTCAATTGTTGTTGTTTAAAAAATATCTTGTTACCAATTACACTAAAAATACTTGTACTGGAGTGGGACAATTCAGGAGACAGGAAGACTAAAATTTCACTCTTTTTTCCATTGCTTTTTTTTATGCAATCAGTTAGGTGACTATATGTGCCATATATGTGGTCATTAGCTGTCTAATTCCATTCTCCTTGTCATAGACAAATCTTTTAATGATTTTATACATAATGTAATTGATGTGAATTGGGATGAGTTAATATGTTTATGTTGGTTCTCTTACTTCTATAGAACCATTGAACCCTGTTATATATGGAACAAATGTATGAGAGGTTTTACTTTAATCATCAATTTGAATATGATCCAAGGTATGATGAAGAAACTCCTGCTTGGGCCTTTTATAAGAATCTTCATTCTGGAGGAAAATTGAGGAAAACATTCCTATTGAAGTCTGCATGAAAGTCAATGTCAAATGAGGGTTGGCAATATCTTGGACTGTTGGTTTTTCAAATTAATTGTTAATTAAGCCTATAAGGCTGAAAATAACTGAACATTATAATTCAAATACAAGTTTTTTCTTAATTGGAATCTTCATCTCCATGATATTCCAAGTCCCATCTTTCCCATTTCCCTAGAGCTTGAAGGCCAAGAAGGAGTTTCCCTCTTTATTATTAAAGAGGGCAATCTTTATTATTGCCTAGTGTACGTGAAAGGCTTACCTGGCCCATTTATATTGACAACAACACCCCAAGTTAAGCTATCATCATGAAAAACCAACTCATCTTCGGCAACATCTCCATCTACTCACCCATTTCTCCCAACAATCACTCATTACAATCATCAATGTCATTTAGGAGAATGGGAACAATTTCATCATGGATTTCAAAATGTTCTTTAAGAGCTTGATTATACATGAAATAAACCAAATGTTACAACTTTTGATGCTCAAATCTGCCTTTTTTCTTACAATGATTCTATTTTATAACTATGAAAACGGAATGTTATCTTCACAACGCTATATGAAACCCTATAAAATAATTTGACATATACTTACATGGTTAAAGCCATCCTAGTTATGCTCACATCCTAGTGAACTATAAGTTAATCTCAACTTATTAATGGCAACTTTTTGCAAATTTGGTGACAAACAAATTCTCTGTTCAGCGGATGACTACTGTGTTCTTGTGCACATGTGACTCCTCTATTCCATTATGTGCACACTGCTTTTTTATTTGGTTGTTCAGCAAATTATTGGTAGTGCTGCAATTTCTCTATTATTAGTATTGCCTGGTTGGTTTATGAATTTATTATTTTTATTTCAGATATTTTCATGACAATGTGTATATTTTTCTCCTTTTATGTTTGATGTCCTGTTCTTTAATTTATGTACTTTTCATTTTTTTATGCAATTTTGTCCTGTGTTATTATGTGAAATTCTATTTATTGTTTTTTTTTTTTTAATTTATACTGCCATACCTGTACCTAGATTTCTAGGAATCACTGTATTCTCTATAATTATTTTGTTCTGCTAATCGTTACTGTACCTTTATATGTGCAATGTAGTATGCCAATACTACAAATGGCTTGATGTCATTCATTTGTACAATTGTAGGCACTCAGATGGCTCTCTCTGCCTTTTAAATGCTATGCACATTTTGAATTCATCAAGTCAAGCACTTCCTTCTTTCAATTCTTTGTACAGTATTTACTTATTTGCTATTTTTAGTGGACTTATGAAACTATATAGATATTTTAGGTGATACTATTTTTAAATGAATAATTTATCTACAAAAAGGAGTACACAATTATTAAATAAATAACCAAACATGATTTTATGGTCTCTGATATATCAAACTTGGTAGCTAAAGTGTTGGATTTATCTGTAAAGGCAAATGAATAATTGAGGAACAAAGTGCCAACTGTTATTTCTAGATAAGATTATGCTTCGGTAATAAATAATTTGGTGTTTTAGATTGATATGCTCACCTGTTAGTCTGGCAGTTTCCTATTTTGGATTAATTTTATAAGACTATAACTGCTTTTTCTTAATATGACTATATGAGCAATTTTCTATAATTGCTATTCTTAGAATGGATGGTTTAGAGTCGTTGTTTCCATAAGTATATTAACTAGTAATAAAATCTGTTATTTAAGAAAAGATCTTGAGTACTTTTTATTCTTGGAAATTGTTGGGTTCTCTCTAAGCGAGCCCAAACTTTGCTAATAAAATAGGAAATACGGGAAGAAGTCAGACATTGGGTGATTTACTGCCAAACTTTTCTGTTCTATAACCAGATCCAAGGGACTGGACCATAACACATGGTAATAGAGAAAGTCAGTTATGAAGGCAGGAATACAAAGACAATTTGTCATGCTTAATATGTGTACCATCTCATGTTAGTTTATGTATAATCTTTGTAACATTTAGCGTTTTCTTTTGAAAAAAACTACAAGAGATGTTTCAATAAAATGGAGAAGAAAGTAAGAAGTACGGGAGCAGATAAATCTCCTCCTAAGGAAACCAAAAAATCCCAAAACAAAATATATAAGAAATAACACTCTAAGTGGGCAAAGGTCTCAATATCTACAGTATCCACTATCCAGAAAGGAAACCTTTTGAAACAGCCGCTGGCTGAGCACCAGAAAACAGCTACATAGATGCTCTAAACTACAGAAGAGATTATGGAAAAAATTATCCTTGAAAATGTTGGGATTTCTCACCAACCATGCCCCCAAATCACTGCATATATTGCACGCCTGTAAAGAAAGTTGACTTAAGTCATCCCAAAACCTTCAAATTAGCATATGAGAAATTGCTCCAAAGTCCAAACTCTAGACAAATCCACTGTTCCCCAATGAGACCAAAATGTTGAAAACACATTTCTTGCAGCTGTATATGGGAAAATAAGAATAGACTAGGCTCAAAATGGTTGTGGTCTGCAAATGTGCAAGCAGCATTGATTCTGTTAAGAAGAATTACATTTTATTCTTGGACTGATTGTTATTTTTCATTGCACAAATTTTAATAAACACAACACATATATTTGTTTGTCAATGTTTCAATAGTATGGTGCTTCTGCAGTTTAAATTGTGCTTGCAGTTACTTAACATAGTGAAAAAATGCCTCTGTACAGGAAGATAGCGAGAAGACTGGCAAGGTCATGTCTGCTGGAATGTATTTCTTACATTTTCAAGTTTACAGAATGGATTCAACTGTAAATGCGGTATGCAAAATTTCTGTTCATTGGGGGTTTCTTCTCTCCTCCTTTGGTTCTTTCTTTTAATTGTCTTTTTAGGGTGGTTACTTTTAGTGTTCTGGTGCAGTTAGCAATGGCCAAGGATCCTGAAGCCGCCTTCTTTAAAAGGTTGGAAGGTCTTCAACCTTGTGAAGTCTCGGAACTAAAGCCTGGCACTCATATATTTGCTGTTTATGGTCTGAATAATTTTTATTGTCCTTTAGCTTGCTTGGGGTAATTATTCTTGAAACTGTTTAAGCTTCATCTACACTGATTTGAGTTGATATTATTTAGGAGATAACTTCTTTAAGACTGCTTCCTATACAATTGAGGCAATTTGTGCAAAATCATATGAAGAAACCTCTCAAAAACTGAAGGATGTTGAGGCTCAGATTTTAAGAAAAAGGATCGAGCTACGCCAATTTGAAGCAGAATATAGAAAGGTTATTATTGGCTTTGGTGTATGATCTTTTGAGACACATACACGGTTATTTCTCCTAATACTATACATTTCAGGCATTGGCACGTTATCAAGAAGTGACTGACCGATACACCCAAGAGAAGCAGTCTGTAAGTGCCTTAAACTATGCTACACTTTCAACTCTGTTTGTGTGTTTGTTCCATTGAGTTGTGGCAAGTCAGGTCAATTACAAATTGTCACCCTGCTGCTGCTGCATGGTTTGGGCAAAATTAGGCAACCCCCTATATGCTGTAGTCCAACAACTTAATACCAATTCTAAACGTAAAGCGGATAAAAGAAATTGTGCCCCAAGATGCTCACTCTAGGTGTAGTCTTTAATATATATATATATATATATATTGCAAGATCTTCTTACACTAGTGTAAGTCTAAAAATTCTTACACTCGCTCTGAGTCTTTCATTTAACTTATATCTAACGGTCAGTGAAGTAATAAATTATAATCCGTTAGATGTAAGTTAAATGAAAGGCTCAGATCAAGTATAAGAATTTTTAGACTTATACTAATGTGAGAAGATCCTTCCTCATATATATATATACATATATATATAATAGTAATTTTTAATTTTGGGAGCAGTAGCCAGTGGGTTAATTTGAGTATCTTTTACTTATATGCACTTTTTGAGTAAATTTTGATGCTTTTGTGTGTTATATCCCGCTATTACCTGTACCCATACCCTGGTTTTAGAAACTTTGTGACACCTTGTACAGTTGTACCTGTTCTGAAACAGGTATGGGTGCCTTTGTCTATGCAACTTAGTTGGAAAAGCCTTATATTTTAACATGCAAAGTGGTTTCTAACTCGAGAGTCTCTAATTATCAGGTTCCTTTAGTTTTCCCTAGGCTACCCTTGATTATAGATTTATAGTTCTGTTAAATAGGTCTGTTAAATGGAAGTAATTGTAAAATGTTTTCGGTCTGTCAAAGTTTAGAAATATGTAGGCAAACGGTGTGTTCTGCTGGAGAATTCTCATTAATATTGTTTTGATACAAGCTAATATTCTTCCCTGTAAATTACAAGATGATATTCTACCCTATAAATTAGCCAAACTGCCATATATACATTTATTCTACAGCTGAGCATCCTAATTAAGAGAGGATAACAATTATACAAAATTACAGCTATATAATCCGATAGACTTTGTTGGCTTTAAATGTCTAGGTATGGTATGCTAAGAATTTGTTGGTTTTAAATGACAAGTTTATTTTGCCAATTTTTGCTGGTTTTTATGTCTAGCAAATTTGCTGCATTACATGTCCCCTCAAATTGATACTCGTAAGTCAACAAGTATCAATTTGCTAACTAGGACATTCTGGTATTGACGTGTTAAGGATTTGGTAAAAATGTTAATAATTTGAGCAGATGTTGAGACATGTAATAGAGTGATAATTCTGCAATCATTGGATTTCTGGATGTAGTGATGACAATTAACTTCTATGTGTTTTGTGCATTCATATTTCATAGTAAATTGGATTTGCTACAATTTGATGCAGTGGAGTAGGTTGTGCTTGATAGAATCCAAGTTCTGTGAGAAGACTATGAAACCAAATCATCTTTGAGCATGCAGTAGACATGTCATGATACTCTGCTTCTGAAGATGACTTGGAAAGGGAATCTTGTTTGTTGCTTTTTCCTGAAATTAGAATATTACTCAACTACACACCCCATCCAGTAGTATATTTTCTTGTATTTGGAGTCACTGTATGCTTTGAGTTGGAGAGACAAACTGATTGGGAAGAACAAACCACTATTGAAGGTGCCAAGAAGGTAACATTATACGGTGCATTGCAAAAAAGTGGAAATGATGAGGGGAATGCATGAACTACTAACTATATGGACAATAAAATAAATATTTGGATGTGACGGTTAGGTAAATAAGGCTACCAAACCATCTTGGAATATAAAGTGGGGTATTTAAGAAGGCCACCTTCATCTCATTTATATTTCACATTAACTTCCATGGGAGTGTCAATATAGACCTTGTATTTTCTGAATTATTTATCCAATTCTCAATTACGACAGAAAAGAAATGAAATATTGATTAGTCTTTATTGAGAACTTGAGTAAAGAGTAAACATTTTATTTTAGATTAGGGGTTTTATAGAATTTGAAAGTGGAAACCCTTTGCTTTATCTTTATTTGGTATAACTACTTGAGCCGGATGAGAGGAAACCTTCACATCTGATTTTGAAAGGGGGAGATCCTATTGGATTGGATCCTATCCAAATTTTTCGTTTGCTAGGTCCGTAGTTAAAAATCCCACTTTCTTACGATTACGAGGTCTATTCGAATATGAAATACAATCGTGAAAATTAAGGATTTAATTGATTTATTTGTAATTAGGATTGATCCTGTTGTACCTCATTGTATAATCATTATAGCTCGTGTGATCATATGATATACAACATTGAGAAATCTCTTCTCGTATTTGGTATCGGTAGTCTTTTGGTTCCTCCATCCCATTCTGCCATCTCTCCTCCCCCACAGGGGGAATAGTACTCACGACAGCAAATAGTAACACAATGGTGAACAGTACTGCAACCACTGTTTGCCATTTTATGCCTACCACCACACCCCCTTTCCCAGTGTGCCCCTGCAATCAGCATTGCCACCCTCTGATTACTGCAGCTCCATTGATGCTGCCCCAAACTGCTGCTGCATGCGTAATCATTCTTTGGTGTCTTTCTGAGGTGCCTGTACTAAAATGACATGCGAGCCCTTTTTCAGGCTGGTGATGTTTTCCCTGTCTTCTCTCTTCGGCAACCCGGTCCACTCTTTAACTTATTTCTCTTATGACCTTTGTTGGTTCATCTTCCAACTTCGGTATTGCCATGACTTACACCCACATAATGCTGATTCCATGTGAAAATTTATTTGGAACAGCAAATTACAAATGTGCTGCTGCTGCTACATACAATGATTTTCTCCAATACAAGGCATCCCAACAGCCTACCTCTCCTGCTGTCATGGTTGCTCAGTCTAGTAATCCTATACCATTTGTTTCCAATTCTTCCTCTCTTGGTGGATGACATGACTGCTTTGCATTCTAGTGACACTTGGGGTCTCTTTCCTTAACTACCTGCCAAGTATGTTGTTGGCTTCTATTTGGTTTCTATAGTGAAGATTAGCCCTATTGGCAATATGAATTGTTTTAAAGCTTGCATGGTTGCTAAAGGATACCCACAAATTTTTGCTTTGGATTATGGCAACACATTTTCCCTTGTGGCCAAAATCATCTCGATCCACCTTTTTCTTGCTATGATTACCATTCATCGTTGACCCCTTCATTAAGTTGATATTAAAATGCCTTCTTGCATGGTGATTTACAAGAAGAGATTTATGTCGAATTGTCACCAAGATTTACTGTTCCTTGTCAATCTCATTTTGTTTGTTATCTTCGCGTTCTCTTTATGGTTTAAAGCAGTCTCCTTGTGCTTGATTCAGATGTTTTAGGTCTTAATACAATTTGGCATGACTAGGTGTAAAGCCGATCATTTTGTCTTTTCTCTTCATTTTGTGTTTGACCACTACATTTTATTTAATTGTTTATGTTGTTGATATCGTCATTAGTAGTGATGATTCCACTAGCATCTAGTGACTCAAAGACTACTTATTCAGCCAGTTTTAGACAAAGGATTTGGGTCCTCTCAAATACCTCTTAGGTATTGAAGTTACACAATCCTCTTCTGGTAGTGTTATTTCCCAACAAAAGTATGCTTTAGACATTCTCATTGAGACAGTTATGCTCGATTGTCATTTGTGTGATACTCTAATGGATCCCAATGTTAAGCTTGAGCTTCTCCCTAGTCAAGGAAAGCCATTGAAAGATATCAACATATTGTGGGCAGACTATCTTACTGTCACCAAATTTGACATCACTTTTGTAGTTAGTTTATGAATGCCATGTGTGATAGCCATTGGGATGCTGTAATTCGTATTCTTTGGTACATAAAAAGTTCACTAGGACGAGGGTTATTATATAAAGATAATGGTAATATTAAAATCACTTGTTATTTAGATGCTGATTGGATAAGATTACCATCAAATAGAAAATCCACTTTTGGACGTTGGTTCTAATTAAAAGAAATATGATTTCTTGGAGGAGTAAAAAGCAAAAAGTAGTTGTTTGGCCTTGTGCCAAAGCTGAATATTGTGCTATGATAGCAGCTGCATGTGAACTTACATAACTTAGGTAACTATTTTAGCAGTTAAAATTAGGAGATGTTCAAGGGATGAAGATTATCAAAGATAATCAAGCTGTACTTCGCTTTGCCTCAAATCCAATCTTCCATCAACAAACTAAACAGAGAAGGTGTTTTCAGGAGAAATTACAATTGATTTTGTCAATTTTAGTGGTCTATGGCAGACATGTTCTCTAAGTCCCTTACAGGCTCTCATGTTGACTCTATTTGCAACAAGCTTGGATTATATGACATATATACTCTAACTTGAGGGGGTGTGTTAAATAACAATTAGGGATTAATAATAATCAGGAATATGATTAGATATGCAATAATAATCAGGATTTGATTAGATATGTGGCCAATAAGTTTAAATCTTAATGCTGAATGTTTTTAGTTTTATTTAAGGAATTAGAAAGCTAATTTTGTTTTAAAACCAATTAACCAAATAATTGGGATTGAGTATTTTAGAAAGTCTGACCATTAGATAAAATTGTATTTTGAGTTATATATATATTTTTATGCAAAGGGAAAAAGATAAGAGATTCCTAACTCATACTACTTTCTAATTGTCTTTAGACACACTTTCAGGAATTAAGGCATTTACATTCTGCAGTTATTTTGATTTTTATTTCCATATTAGTATTTTTTAGATTCTCATCATATATTAATTTCAATTCTAGCAACTTTAATTCCATTTTTACAATTCTGCACTTATTTAATTTTTTTTTTTTTATATCCTATTTTTTGAGTCAACTAGTGTTTTTTTTTGTGAGTTGATACTTAGCATTAATTCTTGTGAACAATAATTTAATTTGTTACTTCAACGATTTGGTACACTTGTCAAAAAGTTATCAAGATTAATCCTATTGTACCCCATTGTATGATTATAAATGCAGCTCATGTGTGATCATATGAGACAAAACATTAAGAAATCTCTTCTCTTATATGAATAATATCTTGAATATAATTGTGCTTGTTTACAAATATGTCTTTGGGTTTGTAATGCACTTCTAATCTAAAAAAATATGTCATCCACATAAAGAATAAGTATGACAATGCCTTTAGAAATCCTTTGTAGAAAAAGGGATGAGTCATATTAGCTTTTTGTGCAAATGGTGCAAATGAAAGACCATGGAGCATTGATCGAAACTTCTCAAACTATTCTCTTGATGCCCGTTTCAAACCATATTAAGAGCGGTTTAGTTTGCAAATTGTATTAGGTTTTGTGATAATACCAGCGTAAAGTTTGATTTAAATTTCTTCTTTGAGGTTATCATGGAGAAATGTGTTTTTAACATTCATTTGATGTAATGACCAAGAATCCAAGATTGAGATGTAGCGAGGGCATGAATTAAGTGCTTTTCAATAAATAAAAAAATTTAAATAATGACTTATGCCATAAGTTTAACAATGAAATTTGTTGGGATAAGTTGAATATAAGCTTTCTTTTTCTTTTTTTTAAGTTTTCCGTTCGGTTTAATTTAAATTCGACCCAGGTCGTGCACTTGGATGTGGTGGATGAGTCTATCACTGGAGATTTTTTACATACATAAAGACTTAAACTCGAGATCTTGCATAAGCGATACTGAGCTGTTTGTTACTCGAATCAACTTTCGTTGGTTCTTATTTAAGCACTTATTCAATAATTTTTTTATTAAAAGGATGATTTGTCATAAATTTAATGATGAAACTTATTGAGATAAGCTGAAAATAACTTATTTTGATAATTATACCAACTTATTGACATAAGCTGTTATATGAGAATCATAAGATATTTTCTACAAGCTGTTCATAAGCTTTTTCAATAATGTGAAATTAGTTGAAAACAACTTATGTAAGTCAAGCTGTTTTTTATAATTTGTTTATAAATTTTTTCACATAGGTCATATATATGGTTTGTTACGGTAAATGAAAGGGACAGGAAAAATCATTATGAACAAAGACTCTATTCTCTCTTATTTCTGGAAGCATTTCCTGACCTAGAACTCAGGATCCTTTCTCACTATTCCATCTATTTTTCCATCCCCTATTATTCTGTTTGCTTTCCACAGCAAATTGCAAAATTCTCTCTTTTCTTGTTTCTTCTATCTCTTAGATAACTATCCTACAAAAATGTAATTGTGTTATTACCCCTTGCGCTTCCTCCTCCTGTTTATATATATTATTAAACATTCGTGATCATCAGGCATAGTAATTGCATTTGGCATTATTATATGATTAGAATTGCAACTTGTACTTTATCATCAACACTCTGACCTTTTACTCTTCAGGTTGATGAACTTCTGAAAGAAAGAGACACCATCCATTCTTCTTTCACCATTATCAAGCCGGCAAATATTGGTGGGAGTGGTAGTAATTTAAGTAATGGTAGTAGTAGCAAAATTACTGGTGAAGATTCGAAAGTAGAGAGCTCTGGGGAAGATCTAGGTTCAGATGGAAAGGATAAATCGGGAAAAAAGAAATGGTTTAACATCAATCTTAAGGGTTCAGATAAAAGGTTGGTTTGAGATGCTCTTATTTTGTTTATATATTTTTCCTTCTTTTATTGGTTCCACCATGGTTGTAAAATGCTTTGTTAATTTCTTCCCTGTTATGTGGTGCCTTAGAAGGTATGTCTCATTATTTCGTTTAATTTTTGGTTGCCCAGTGAGACACATCATCCAGTTTCCATGAAGCATCCTTAACTAGTATAATTTTGAATTTTTGGTATGGTAACGATATACTAGTTATTGTTGCATCAGAGATGTTCTTCGGCCTTACTAGTTATCATCTACGAGGCTGACTTCATCGAACAAAAATTGATGTTATTATGTTTAGCATTATGCACGCCATGGTGAATGAGTTTGATACATTAAGATCACTCTGGATGACGTTTCATTTTATTTGGCTAGAAAATAAAGAGTTCTAAATAATAATTTGTAATGGCAATCGCGTAAGAAAAATTTAAGTATTTAACCTTTACATTCATTGAGTTTATTGTGTTACTCCATTTAATAGTATTTAACAGAAGTTAAATTTTATTAATTAAATTATTAAATTATGTAATATTATTTTATGATTATTTATGTTAAATTTTAGATCAATTGATAGGTATGCAATCTTATAATTGACATTTGTTTATATTTTGAGTAGCATATTATAAGTAAAACTAATAGATTGGTTTTTAATTCTTTGTTTTGTTTTGGTTTAATCTTTTTTTTTTTTTTTTCGTCTTTTAACTTATAAAAGTGTAAATAAGTCTTATTTTATAAAACTATGCTAGCATCATTAATTTTTTTTTCTCATTGTGAATTTTAATAAAAATATAATATATTTTGACAATTTTAGAGTCTCTTTTTGTCTTTTTTTTTTTTTTAATTTTTTTCCTTCTCTTACATCTTCATTTATGTCTTTATAACTTATAAGATTTTTCCCTTTTTTTTCTCATTTTCTTCTTTTGCCTCTTCCTAAATCCATGTTTATACAATTTGTTTTTCATCTCCCATTTTGAACTTTGAATTTTTTTTCCATTTTTTGATGGATATTTTAATTGTGTATTGAGGTCGTAGAAGAATGTAGATAACAAGGGAGAATAAGTTGAGAGCGCGTAAATGAAAGATAAAAGAAGATAAAAAATGAGAGAAAAAGAAAAAAGATAAGATTTATGTTTGATGTTTAAAAGGGAGAGGGAGAATCAGTTGTGGAATTATGAAGCAGAGATAAAAAGAGGAAGAAAAGTAAAAAAAATAAAATAAAATGCTTTTATTAAAATTCAAATGAAGAGAAAAACAAGTTATGAAAAGGTAGATGATGAATAACAAGAAAGATGAAAAGGAAGAAAATTGAAGAATAAAAAAATTTACGGGAGAATGTAACGTTTTTGTTGAAATTTAAAGGAGTAAGAAGATAAATAATAATTTTTTAAAATAAAGTTAATATTTTTGATAAAAAAAAAGTACTTATTTAAAATAATTTTGTAATTTAAGAGATTAAAATAAAAAAAAATATGTGTGTAAAATAACTTTAACAATAGTTGTTCTTACAGTAATTTGATTTTTACCTTTTATGTAATTTTATATTTAACACTTGAATGTTAAAATCATATATTAAACATTAAAATAATATTGACTATAGAATTGTTAATTATTTTTATTTATTTTAATTTTTATAAACTTGATCTATATAAGAAGAAATTTTAATTTAATGTTTAAATTGACAAAAATCATTGTTTACAAAGAATTAACTCTTATAAAAATTATTTTTAAGTAATTTAATTCTCACTCACACAAATTTTAATCAAATAAGTAATCGATTAACTTACATGATTTAGTTTATTGATTTAAGTTATAAAAATAATTGACTAGTTATTATAATATATGTTAAAGTTCAGTTATATATATAATTATTCTTATTAAAAGAAATGATCGTTTCCCATTATTTTTAATTAATCAATTTCTTACCATTTTGGTACTATTGTTATGGAGTTTCAATTATAAATTGATTTGCTTTTCTTGTAGGCCTTACAATTAGATTGTTAAGAAAGTCATAATTAAATATGCAATCCAGCTAACATTTCAGTAACTTTCCTATAATAATTCAAACCTAATCCACTAAGCAAAGTTTCTTTTACACTATTACTTACCCATGTGACTTGGGGCTAACTGGTTTTCTTTCCTTCAATTCCTAATTAACTCATGGATGGTTTGAACTTTAGATTGGCACATACATTGGCTGTTGGCAAATAAGTACCATCATAAATTACAGTACCATTTCAGTCTTTTATATGGGATAGATCATATATACATACACTGTTCGGTTATATAAGCAGCAGAATGTAGACTACCGTTTGTTTATTTAATTTGTAGAAACTAAAAAAATAACGGTGGAGATAAAGGCATTCACTTGGTTTATCTACCATATTGCCACCAATCTAAACAAGCTTGTCTTATTGACTTGTTCTGAATCTGAAAATAGTCCTATATATATAGTCTATTGAGTTAGGCCACTTCTTCCATCTGTTTGGATTTTCCCAAGGGACAATCTGCCAGAAACCTAAGGAATATTTTATGTAAGTCTCATTTGTTTTTGTTTAGTTAGAACAAGCACATCATGTTGGTTAAGAAATCCATAATGCCTTTCTAAATATATTCTTTTGGTGTCTCAATGTGAACCGAAACACGGTGTTAAGGTAGATTCCTCGTTCATCAGTCATGCTATGAGAATCTAAAGCAGAATTGATTTTATATGTGAGTGACACCTTAGTTTGCGGACAGTTTCTTGCTATAAACTATGTCTTTCACATATATGGCTAAGTAATATTATACATTTCTGTTTAACGACAAGGAACTCAATTTATGCGACGATTATATATATCAGATATTAAAGTGAAACGGAAAATGCATTTTCAGCTGATCTTTTTAGTGTTCTTTTGAGAAGTGAATATATAAAGAAAACAAAAAAAAAAAGTGAAAGTTTTAAAAATTCGTATACATACATAGAATTACATATGATGTTGTTCAAATAACAAAATTAAAGTGAAAGTTATATTTCTTTTGCTCAATGTGTTGTAACTATAAATTTATTTACAAATTTAATCACATTCCACCTAAGTTTGTTAGAATGAGTGTTTCGAAGGGAAGAGAAAACAAAAATAAATTTTGTATTTTTTAATTGAGTTATGTGCATATTATTTTATAATTATAAATGTATTAAAAATATTTTATGATAAATTATCATTTTATTTCTTTCAATTTTAAAAATTCAAATCAAAATATTTACTAAAATAGAAAAAAATGATTTACTTCTTTTCCTTTAATGTTCAATTTCCACTGTCCCTAACCATGCTGCAGTTGGAAATGCGAACAAAAAAGAAAATAAAGACAAGTATGCATCTTTGATTGTTCAAGTTTAGCAAGATTCGAGCGTCCTTGCGGTCATCTTCCTCTAATTTTAAATGTGTGTATATATAACTAAGTTTAGCAATATTTTATTTTATTTATAACTAGGGATCTATACCAAACTAATTCGTTTCACTAAAAGATAGGTTTTTCAGAAAAGAAAGAGTTGCCCTATATATAGAATTATTCTAAAAAGAGAAAAAACATTACCATGAAAAAAAGAAATGCACCATCGTAATCATAGTAGAAATATTGGGAATCTAGGCTTAGTAATAATAAACATTTTTTTATTATCAAAAACTATGTTTAATTATAGAAGTTGACACAGGAGGTTAAGCTGGAACAGCCGAAATTGAATAGTCTAAGAGGAAGCTAGTGAGAAAGAAACAGCCAAAGTTGGGCGAGTGATAAGTGAAAACAGGTAATTGAAACAAATGTAGATTGCTACAAACAGTTTGGTGCTCATGTCGCGTTAACTCTGCCATGTAAACAGAATTATACTGATAAAATCCAATTAGAATACATTGTTTTTCTTTCTTTTGGTTTAATTTATATATAGAAGACAGGTATTAGATTTTGTCATGTCATGTGCAAATGTTCCCCAAGTATGGATGTGTTTGGGTTATATGTTATGTGGGTGCCATATTGCCTTTGTATAGCCGTCTATCTGTCCCTCACTTTATTTACAAACCACGCACTTGTTTTTTGTCTTATTAATTGACCAAAGTCCCCTTTTCCTTCTCTAGATAGAACTCAATTCACGGGAGCTTCCGAACGTGTATTTTAAACTCGTAAAAGGCACAAGGCATTAAGAATAGCTTTAATTTCTTTGTCATAAATGTGGACATTCTGGACTACAATCTAGGCATAGCTCCATGTTGCTTAGATTACTAATTACTAATATAATATCATAGAGAGAAAGAAGAGAGAGACACTTCACATGACTTAAAGCTAACTCCACCCCATGATACATCCACCAATTTGTTTTTTAATTAGGAAGGAGTTGCAATTTTAAAATGAAGTAGGTAGTGTCACTTGGAGTACATGGAGGGTTAATTGAGTCATACCCACATTGTTTGGGGGAGTGCTTAAAAAGTGCTTTGAACATATCCGAAGAAAGGATTTCCAACTTGAAAATTAAGTCACATTGGAGTTTATCTTTTTATCCTTTTTGGATGCTTCCAAAGTAATGGTTGCAAAAAGAAACAAAAGATGATTAGAAAGTTAATGGGGGTTCTAATATGATAGGATCGTGTCTCTTAATAATCGCTGATTTAATATTGCGATTTATTGTCTCATTGGTTAATTCTCCTTGATAAGCACAACTTGGTGGGCCATAATCACGATTCGGGCGATCTTAAATGATAATATTGGCATCACTTCAATCAACAACAAAAGAAAGCATGATTAATGCTCTCCAAAAGTGATTTTTTCTCAAATTGATGGTGGAAACCATCACAGCAGGTTCAAAAAATAGGAAAGAAAACAAATAGTAATAATAATAATACAAAAGAAAGAAATAAAGAAACGCAAGTTTACTATTCAAGAAGACAGTTGTTTATGAATCAACAAGACTTGTAAAGTATGATTGGACAAGTCTCTCGCCATCCCATCTTATATTCAAGCCGAAGAGTTAAGTGTTCATGTGGGGCAAGTGCTACAAAACTTTCACATGTGGTCCCAATGTCGGTGGGACCTAATTATGTTTGTTCAAACAGTGCGGAGCCAATCAGATGTACCTTCCCATGTGTTATCACCCTACATCAGTGGAGAAAACCTTGAGTTAATGTCTAACCATTTTCAAACTCCGCCTAGCATTATGCTAACCCACTTCTTCCATTTTCCCCACTTCCTAACTCTCCACACTTTTTCTTTCTTCTCCTCCACCCTCCCCCCTTTCTTTCTAGACCTTTTTACTTGAGAATTTAAACTTATAACTAGTTTT